GGGGATGATGGGATTCTGTAGCTGAAGAAGATATGAAGAACATTTATCCCAGATCACTCCTCCATCTAGCCCATCTGCTCTACTTTTTTGGATTTTACTGTGAGTCTCTAAGTAGGAGAAGCCAAGGAAGAAAAACATAGATGCTTCTGCAGACAAAAAGGCTCTACCATCTTTTGTTAAGATCACATGAAGCTTTTAGCTTTAGTTTAGTATGTCTGAATTCATCCCACAACAAATCATGGCTTTTAAGGCAAACCATGATTCAGTAAACCATAATTTAACATAATGTGCAAATCTAGTCAATACGGGCAGTGTAAATTGTTATTATGCAAACCATTTCTTTTAAAAAAGGCTCATTTGAAAATCCATTTTATCCTAGGTGTTGTTTTAGCTAACTGAATGCCTCCAGGAATTAGTTTGAAATGTTATGTATTTGACTTCTGAATAATCTAATTAAGAATTAGGCTGCCTCTTGACTTCCGGTTTGAAGTCTCTTCAGCAACAGACAGAAATCCACGATCATGCATGGTTTCTGTCTGGGCTCGCCGCTGGAGCACCTCAAGCCAGCTGGTTTCGGGACTAAGCCACCCCGTAGAGGTGGTGAAGAGGGGGGAGACCACCAGCAGGGTCAAGGAGAGCCACATCTCTCAGCTGGCCATTACTCCCTTTCCCGAAGGCGGTTGCAGAGGTGATCAGAAATGGCCACCACAAAGAAGAACTCGACCGGAAAAGAATGTGCAGGAGGAAGATAAGAAGTGAAAGTTTTGGCTGACCGGGTTAAATTGTAAAAGCTACAACTAAGGTACCCAGGAATTTAAACTTACAAAAAATAACATCGCTCCCAAAGAAGAGTCGGAAGCAGCGAAGGAAAGTGAAAAGGGAAAGGTTTGGCTTTTTTTTTTTCTTCTCTCTCCTTCCCTATACTGACAACTAAGAGACTTAAATAAGAAATTGGAAAAATCCGCTTTGACATCAATAGGCAATTAAGCTGAAAATAAAACAAAATGCCAAAGGCATAATAAAGATTTCTGGACATTAAATTTTTTTCTTTTTCTTAAGCAGGAAGGGAGAGAAAAAGAATAAGGGCAGGATCTGGAAAGAGGGAGGAGACTGCCTGGAATTAAAAAAAATCTACAGTAAAACTTCAACAAGACTTCTAAAAGATACATTTTAACTGAAACTTTGTAATTAAACAGTAACCCCAGGAAGAGAAAGTGAAAAAAAAGAGCAAAAAGAAACAGCTTGCGTGTATTTGGATTGTTTGGTGATCTTTGGATTCTTGGTTATTACATTTGAATGACTAAAATCAATTGGGTGGTTGTTAAAAATTTATACAATGGCATCACTTCTGGATGAATTGAAAATGGAACTTAAAAAGTACAAAGAAGATGCACAAGAAGGGAAGGGTTCTTTTGGCTTTATTTTTCAATTCTTAGAAATGGAGATTTGGAACTATGAGAAACAACAAGAAACGTCTGCAAAACAAGAAGACTGGGACAAAGAAGAAGCCATCTTTAATGAACAAGTAATTTTATGTGGGGAAGAAAAAGGAAAGGGGGGAAAGAGAATGGAGAATTTAAGACTTAAAAAAACAACCAAAGAAAAGAAAAATAATTCAAAAATAAGTATAATACTGGAAAGCAACAGAAAAGGGGAATACAGAAGAGAGAAATAGAGGTAGAGAGACAAGGGGGTAAAAAGGAGAGAGAGAAGAAGAGAGGGAAGAAGGAAAGTAAAAGAAGTTACAAAGGACCGGAGCAAAATATAGAGAAACAGGGCCTATTTAGAGATAATGGGTGAAAATCTAACTGAAAAAGGGATTCTGTAAAGGTACATAAGATTGTATTGTTATATTAGTAATAGAAATAACTTTAGAAAATTGGAAACAATGTATGATTAAAATGAGGGATAAAATAGTGTAATTTAGTGAAATGTTTGTGAATAAAATAAGTGAAATAAAATAAATGAGAATTGGAATGGAATGGAATGTGTTGTTTTAATTATATACATTTATATTTTTTTCTTTTTTTAAGAATATAGTGTGTTTTTTAAGAATGTACCAAGCAGAATCCAAATGGAAGTTATGTATTATATTGAATGTTATAACTTTAGGGTATATATTGAAGCCTAAATAAGAGTTAAATGGATAAACTTAAAAGATATAAAGGCGTCATACTCCAATCAGTAACTACAGGAGAAATTTTGTTTAATGAGAAAAGATAATAGATAATTGAAACAGGACAGACAAAAAATATAAATACAATGATTTGAACTGAGATGAGATAATTAAAATAAAATTGAGAAAATTAAAAGAGGGGAGAAGCCATGCAGAAAATGTAAAATAGTAATAAGATATGGAATAGAATATAAAAATGAGCATGAATCTGAATTTGTGTCTGTACGAAGAAATGTAACCAGGGATTTCGCTACTTTCAAAAAAGATGTTTTATTTGTATTTTTTTTCTCTTTCACTCAAATAAAATTTACAAAAAAAAAAAAAAAAAGAATTAGGCTGCCTCTGGTGCAGACCTTTTCATTTTAGTTGTCTTATTCTTTCCAGATCTTTTAGACAAAGGTAGATCCTTAAGTACCCAAAACAGTAGCCAAAATCTGCACCTAAATAGGCTTCAGGGTGGAGCACCAAATTTTGCAAAAAATAAAAGAAATCTTTAAAGGTTATACTAAAGTTAATGAATATCTTCTGAAAAATTGCAGTCTGGGTTGAGAATGTTTAATAGCAGTGTCCATACTGATCAAGGAGGGGTATAATAACATCTCTTTTTTATGTATTTTATGTATAAAGTCTGGCTTAATACCATGACAAGGCTTATATGAAACATCCATCATGAAACACATTTTTGCATTTATTCCAACTCCACAACTGAATCTATAATTCATATTTTACTTCACTGTGCAGCCTGGTTTGAAACTATTCGTTGACTTCTCCACTGAAATTTCCAGGACTGTAGTTTTGCTCAATTGCATTTGCAGTTAGTAGATTCCAGGTTTGCTGTTAAGAGTGCCAACCTTCTATATCCTTTCTCTATATTTTTATTTTTAAGAGGGTCGTTAGAATCTCTTCACTACTCTTTCTGTAAGCAGCTTATTCTTCTGAACTGCTGTATTGGATCTGGCTTTAAATTCATCAAACAAGTAAAGGAAGAGGCAATCATAGTGGGATGCTAACTGAATGCTAGGAATGACAGATCAGAAAAATAAAAGGAAAGCTAGAAAGGATTAAAGTATCCTGAAAGAGGGCATATAGCTGGCTAGAATACCAAATACGAGAACACCCAGACTGCAACAGTTTAAGGCAACTTCAGCTGCACATAAAATAAAATCAGACAGACACACATTTTGTCTTCCACCCGAAGACCAACATTTGTCCATTCAGAAAAGGGGGCAAAATGCAAGGAGTCTGTTGGCTTCTAGGCTGGGCTAAGCAGCAGCTGCCTTTGAGGAACACCATAGTAGCAGACAGATTTGTTGTGAACAGATGTTGCCAGAGAAACTTGGATTTTCTTCTTCCCAATCTAGTTTAGCAGTGAAGGAAAATGGAAAAGCAGCCAAGGCAGCTGTGGTAGGTCACTTCTCCATCTCCCCAAAGTGGGGTGGAGAAACAGCACAACTAGTTATCTGTATCTGTAAGGCAAAGATGGGCAAGCTATTCTTCCTTCCAGAAAGACAGTTCTCAAACATCCCTGTGGGACAATCAGCCTTCCCCAACCTGCTACCTCCAAAGCTGTTAGGTTGCTGGGAATTTCACAAGCTGCATGACCCAGTCTCTGGGGAAGGCTGTTCACCCAAATTAGCAGGGAGAAGTGTTTTGTGGGATTCAATTTTTTTACTACCGGTTCTGTGGGCGTGGCTTGATGGGCATGGCAGGGGAAGGATGTTGTAAAATCTCCATTCCCTCCCCACTCCAGGGGAAGGTTACTGCAAAATCCCATTCCCTCCCCGCCCCACTAATCTGCTTTCCAGCTCCATTCTCTTGTGCAGGGCAACCAAAGAAGACCCAGCCAATCAGCTGGGACTCGGGAGGCAGAGAATAGAGGGGGGCAGGGCCAGTCAGAGGTGGTATTCTGAACTACTCAAAATTTCCACTATCGGTTCTCCAGAACTGGTCAGAACCTGCTGAATACCACCTCTGTGTAGAAGGGGGTATGAGAAAGGTAAAAGTTGATGGTACACTTATTGGAGGTTTTGCCTTTGGAAAGAAAAAGGGATGTTGGGAGTCCAGTATATGAATTGTGTATTAAGACTTGAGCCTATCATCTATCTTGACATTTGTCACTTGATAGGTTTACAGCTGCTAGTAATAAAATAAATACAAATGAAATATATTCCTCCCTTTCTCTTCTGATAAGGTTTTCCTTTCAAGATTTAGTCTGTTAAATGAATGGATTGTTTTTAAAGGGCAGGGTCACTGGCAATGCAGCCCAATAGTAACCACAAGAACTTTACATACATCTGGAGGGTAGCAGTTGGAGAAGGCTGAGGTATGACAACCTTCATGTCTGCTGCCATCTGCCCCCACCAACCCATTCCAGCCATTCCCCCAACTTGTAGGAGAAAAGTAGGCAGAGCTGGGGTCAGAGTTAAGTACTTCATCAGCATAGAGTCATTACATTTGCACAAATGCTCTAAGTCCAAGCCCTCTTGAATTCCATGGACCCTTATCTGGTGCCAATTTAGTACTGAACTTTAGTTGACTAGATTCTTGTATATAGGCAAATCCTATTCTTGTGAATTGCAACTTTTGATCCTTTGCACCTTGGAACAATTCTCCCTTATGCCAACCTTCATGTGTGCTGCCATCTGCCTCCCTCAACCCACTCCAGTTGTTCCCCCAACTCCCCCTTACCCTTCGGCTCTCATGGCCCACCAAAATGTCACCACCCAGGTGGGGCCGGATTGATCATTCTATTGGATTTGGTGCTTAGCAGGTTCAGCCAAATTCCAGCACTTAAATCAAAACCAAATGTCTGTAATCCATAAGAAAAGACAAGTGTGTTTTCCTTTAACATTCCCCACACATCAGAAATACTGCCTGACAAGAGAAATCTTCAAACTAGAGCAATGTGATGTTTTAGGATATTTGGATTCTGAATTGTTAGGATATTTTTCTGCAGAAGCCACAAAGATGGGTGACCATTTCTGGAGATGGTCTTCTTAACTCCTCAGTATTTCACCTGAAAAGGAGAAACTAAAAAATGAGCTCCTACTGAGTGTCTGAAAGCTATCAGTCTATTTCTGAAAAGGAAATCAAATAGTTTTCAGCTGAAAGGGGATACAGTTATGAAAGCTACTATAAAGTGGGTTAGATTATCTGTCTAAGCCAGCATCATCGGCACTGAGTGTTAATGGTCAAAAGGAAAGATTTCCTAGTGTTGTCATAACTCTGATATAAAAATAAAACAGAAACCTGACTGCATAGCAGCAAAGAGTTAGGGTTTCTTTTCAGCTTCTAGTAGGCATCTGGAATTCTGCAACCCAGTTGTCATACCCTTAGGATGTCCTATCCCCTGCCACTTGATTCTGGCTCCAGCATACAAGGTATGTTTTGCACCTGAGTTATAATCAGCTCTGTTCACAGTCCAGTAACTGAAATAGCTACCACAGGATTCACTGATCATTAATTTACTATAGTAGTTGCAAATCCTCTTTTGAACACACTTATTAGAGAGCACGTCTCAGTGAAAATAGTTAAGACTTGCTTCCAAGCAAACAAGATTCTCATAGGAAATATTTTCACAACCCTTCCAGTTTCTTTGTAGCACATTAGAGGACAAGAAATGTAGACCCTCCCAGAAAACAATTTTGGACTCTTCCTGTCCCCCAGATGCCATTCACTCTCTAGTCAGCTCTCTTTCCATCCCCACTATCATTCTCTACACCTACTCCTCCAGCTGTGGACACAAAGTGATCTGGGTGCCTTGGAGCTGGGTTTCCCCCAGGGGACGCTGTGTACAATTGTGCCCATTGCTGGCCAGATACAAATGCTTTGTTTCCTCGGTCCTGTTACTGGAAGCACTGCTAGTGCTACCAGTGCCCAAGTCCTCCTCTTCTTCCTCCTCCTCTTCCTCCTCTCTGGAAACTGTAGCAATGGACTTGCTCTCCCGGGAGCTGAAGGCACATAGGCATCTCTGCAGGTCCTTGGAGAAAGCATGAAGCTGGGAATCAGGTCTCCTTGGGCAACGTAAGAGTTTTTTGAAAGCACACCTGAAGTCAGGACTGCGGCAGTAGATGATGGGGTTGAAAGCCGAGTTGACATAGCCCAGCCAGTTGAAGAAGCGAAAAAGCGGGTCAGGGACGAAGGATCTTGCAAAGACCTTGATGATGTTGGCCACAAAGAAGGGCAGCCAACAGAGAGTGAAGACACCAATGATGATGCCCAAAGTCTTCAGGGCTTTGTGCTCTTTGATGGCAAGGAGGAGACGGGAGGGCCTCCTGCGGCGGAAGCCTTTGGATGCATCCTGAAGGAACCTCCCCTTGTCCTTCTCAATGACATGAAGTTGCCTGGTAGCGATGGCAAAGACTCGGGCATAGACAAAAATCATGACCAACAGCGGCACGTAAAAAGAGATGATGGAAGACAAGATGGCATAGGGCATGTTGGTGACAAAGTCACAGCATAGAGGATCCTGGTAACAGCTCAGGGCTTCCACATCCGCCCCATCCCGCCACCAGTGGTTCATGATGGGCAAGAAGGAGATGAAGGCGGCCACGGCCCACACCAGGCAGACCACTCCCCGTGCTCGGCTCTTGGTCATCAGCATCTCATACTTCAGTGGGGCTGTGATAGCCAAGTATCGGTCCACCGCAATGACACACAGGGTCTCGATGCTGGCCGTGACACACAGCACATCCAGCGAGGTCCACAGCTCACAGACAGTAGTGCCGTACAACCAGCAGCCGCTTAGGACCAGGGTGGCCCCTGGAGGCACCACCAAAAGCCCCATGATGAGGTCAGCGCAGGCTAGAGAAGTGATGAAGATGTTGGTCATGGTCTGCAGGCGGGGGGTCTTAGCAATGGCCACCACCACCAGTAGGTTGCCGGCCACCGTCACCAGCACGGCCAGGCTGAGGGCAGCTCCGAGCGCCCCCTGCCGGCTGAGGCTGCTTTCCGCCCCAGGGCAATTGGTGCCGTTGGCCCCCAAACCCGCTTGCTCCGCCGCCCCCGGCCACGTCCCGTTGGGCGGCCACGGGGGAGCCATGGCAGAGAGGGCAGACTGGGAGGGGAACGAACCTGCCTTGCCGCCCTCTGGACACCTGGAGTCGGCCGAAGCAGCTCTCCGCGGGAATCGCGGCGGGAGTGCGCTCTCCAGGCGCACGGGACCCCCGGCCGCCGCTTAAGGCTCCGCAGCCCAGCCCATGCTCGGGGGAAGACTGAAGGTGCCTCGGAGGGGCAGCACCGCCCTCCCCTCGGTGGGCACTGCTCAGAGGAGGAGTTCTTAAAGGCGCAGGACCCAGGGGCGGGACACGGGCGTTGGTCTCTGCTCTCCCGGGCCTTTTTTCCTCCCTTCCGCAGCAGGAAAGCCGCTCGCTCTACCGCCTTGCAAGAGCTTTTGACTTGCTTCGTGCAAAGCCGCTTTCATCCTCGGCGAAAATTGAGCCATCTCGTCCCGACCCTCCCAGCCTGCAGAACTCTTCTTCCTCCCCCTTCCCTTGGCAGGAAAGGTCGAGGCTCGCTCTTCGGGGCAATTCAAGCCGGAAGGTCCAATGACAGAATTAAGTTACGCCTCGCCTTAGCCTCTCCGGCCCATCCGAACCGACGCGCCGTCCAAAGTAATGACATTGGCGGCGGTCGTCCCTTCCTTCAACCAGCCCCGGCGCCCGTCCTCGGTCCCTGGGCTTCCTGACGCCTCTCCGAGGTCGGGGGTGGCGGGAGCGGGTGGAGGAAGAGCGGCACCATTCACCCGGCCTTTTTGAAATCGGGGTCCGCCGCTCAGCCAAAGCCTCTTCTCCAGCCGTGAAAATTCGATTTATACTTGCGACTCTCTTCGGCGCCCGCTTATCGTTGGGCCAGCCTTCTAGGACAGCTCCCATCAAAGGCCAGGCGGGTTGGGGGTGAAGGTGGAAGGGCTGTAGCTTGGCCGTCCTCGGGGTCTCTCCTCCGCTCCCTTTAGCCCAGCACATTTAGGGTTGGGTGGGGGGAACATGGCATTGACTGGGGAGGGGGGAGGTTCCGTGCCAGGGCCATCTACCGTTTGCCCTTCATGATTCTCGTAAAGCGGGAAAGGCGGTTGCATTAAGGGCTGGGTGGGTCCCCGCAGAACTTCCGACTTCAAATCCACCGGCTTTCCCAGCTCAAGTTCCCGCACTAGCGGGAAGCGTCTGGCCGGCTAAGTATCACCTCTAATTCCGCGCAATCGCTCCCTTTCTGCTCCCCCCCCCCGCCCCCACCAGATCAATTGCCTTTTTTGACTCTCTCCCTCCCCTCACCCTCCGATAAAATCGGAAGTTTCAGTGATTCCACCGAAACTGCAGCGAGCTTCCACCTTGGCCACCTATCCGTGACCAAGCGACGACCGGGGCGGGAGGATTCCTCTCCCTGGCTCTCTTTGGACGCCCCGCATTGCCTCCCCTGGCTACTGAATTATGCCATTGGCTGACTTTATTCAATGCTCGAAGCATAGTCGCCCCGTACTAACTGATCCCGAGATTGCGCCCTACACTGAGACGCAGAAATGTTATATGAGTTCAGCCTCTACTGCAGATTTAACTGAGTTGGTTGAGCTGGCAAGCTCTGTTTTTCTCCCAAATCCATGCGCAAAACCCAAGCAACAGAGAGAAGGACTGGGTCCACTACAGCAGTAGATGGTGAAAACACCCTCGTGACAGTTTTGCCCTGTCCCCACTTTTCTCTCAGGGAGAGAAATCAATTTTACAGCGCAGTCCCAAAGTAACTCAATCAAACTTACGGTCACGTCTTAATGCAGCAGTTGAATGCACGTTAGTCCCTAGTCTCTACAACACAACTGGAGAAAAGACAGTAAGTTTTTGGCAGCTGCATGTTTCTCTCCACCATCCCCTTAAACCTGATGTTAAGCTTGCGGGGGTCCAATGTCAGTCAGTTGTCACATCTGGCTGAGAAGATGGGGACGTAACCTTTTCTCCCCTCCATAGATGGACACAACTGCCCCAACAGATTCTTTCATCTCCTCATCATAATCCACAACTGGGATTAGAATACAGAGGACCATCTCCATGCTGGTCCACACTTTCAAGCTGATGCTCCGCCTGGCATGGCCCTGATATGCCAGGAATGGAAACGCCAAAGCAAAAAATTCTGGGAGCTCTAGTCCTCTCAAAATAGGGGAGGGGGCAGTGTTAGGAAGCCTGCTCTAGAGAGGCTGGTGGAGAAGCAGGGGATACCTTCAAGTGAATGTCTGGTGTGGTGTTTGCCTGCTGATTATAGACCAGTTTTGACAGAAAGGAAAAATTTTCAGGAAATTGCTAAGATGGCCCTATCCTAAAGGAACTCAACCCTGACTGTCCTTTGGAAGGAAGGACTGAAGCTGAAACTCAAATATCTTGACCACCAAATCAGAAGAGAGGACTCACTGGAAAAGACTCTGATATTAGAAATGATTGAAGGCAAAAGGAGAGGGAGACATCAGAGGATGAGATGGTTAGATAATGTCACTGTTTGAGCAGGCTGCTGGAGACAGTGGAGGACAGAGGACCCTGGTGTACTGTGGTCCACGGGGTCACAAAGAGTCTGGAATGACTTAGGCAACTAAACAAGAACAATTTGGTTTGCATAAAGAACTTGGCTCTTGCAAATTAAGATGTTTTGATGGTGAACCCAAAGCTAATGTTTCTTCTCTTTTGTTTCATGCATGATGAGGGTCATGGCAGGAAACATCTTACATTAGTTGGATACAAGTAACATGACTCAACTCCTTTTTACAAGTTTGCGAATGCTCCTGGACAAGACGGGTTGGGAAAGTAATCATCAAATAAGGACATGAAAATAAAGGGCAGAGGCTTATTCTGAGGGATTCATGCTCTGTTGCAGGATAAGCATTCCAGGCTCTTTAGGGTATCTTTACAGAACAAATGTTATGTTCTTGGAGAATTCCAGAGCATCAGGAGGCTCCAATGTTTTTGTGACAGCAGTAGCTCATCCCAGCTGAAGGCTAGAAAATATATTTGCAATAAATATATGAATGAATGAATAAGATGCATGTCTACATGCACAGGAAAAACTTGCTTGTTGGTCAGACAAAGACTTTGAAATTTCTTCTCTTGCAGTCTTTCTCCACCATAACTAAAACTAGGAGCCTTTGTGTTTCTCTAGTTTGGAGAAATTGAACACAAAGGTTGTAACCAATGTAATGCCATGCCATGCCATGCAAGACAAACAAACACCTACATGTTTTTCTACCAATTCTCGTTAAAGTCATGGGATGTGTGAAATGTCATCACTTTCTCTGTAAGGTCATCTCTGCACAGTTGGTAGCTTCTCTGGCATCTTACCCTTTAATTAAACTCTTGAAGTAGATTTCATGAAGAACATCCTGCCATGGGAAAAATGTAGGTAATCAGGGAGACTTTGGAGTGATGGAAAGATCGGGAAAAGCAGTTGTAGCACCTTCCCTTTCCTCCATCAAATTAAGCTCAAAAATACCACAAAGAGAAGTTTGATAGAAATATTCAAGCATCCTGAGAATAATAGACCCCCTTTTCCAGAGAGGCAAAAATTCTGAAAAATTGCCACATAGATCTTGGTACAGCATTGATTGTAACATGGGCTTTTCTGACATGCCTAACCCCATCCTGATTCATGAATGTAATCTGAGTTATCCTAAAATGAATTTTGCTTGATTTCTGAAATAACTTATTTTGTATCTCTGAAATTATAATTTATCGCTCATTACAACACATCATTGCTCTGGGTATACAGACCTGTAATCACTTTGTTTTGATAGGATGTTTTTTTTAAGCAGGCACAGGGGTACAAAAAAAAATTCTGATCATAATAAATATATTTTCTGTCCATTGCTTTCTTTCAATGGACAAGCTTAGTGATCAAACATTTTCTAAATATAGCCTTTCACTTAAAGCTTTCTGGACTCTTCTCATTGCAGTATTATGCATTTGTTCTGTAAAGTCTCCTCTGAATGCATGGCAGAGTGTATGGGTTTAAATCAGGGGAAAGCATTATCAGCAGAATAAACAACAGGCTTTCTAAATTGCTGGCAAAAGAATGACTTAATAGTGAAGTTTTCAAGTGTTGTTATTGTTTGAGACCCATTAGTTATTTAATGGGTCTATAGTATAAGAGTAACACTTAAGTAGGGGCTGGATTCAATACATTCTTCCTAGATGGGATTTTCCCTATAAATGTTTTTCATTCCCTCGTGAGACCAATAACATTTCTCTTTAAAGCTGCAGGATGGCAAACACTCTTTTGCTTAAATTCAAATGGTTTTTACAAGTTGAATGAATGTCTGCAGTCAGAAATATGCAGCCCAATAAACTTGTTCGACAGATTTTTTTTTTCTCCCTGCTTTGCTAATTATTTGGAATGCTTCTGTGTTATAGTGGCATTATTTCACCAGAGTTATTGCTTTGAAAATATAAAGAACAGAGAAACAGGACATGGCAAATATCTATCCACCCATCTATTTAGCTATTCTTCATTAGTTATGGGGATGACTTTGTTGTTAATGAAGGCTAGTTTGCTGTAACAACTTTCAACTTCATCTATATTTTTTTAAAAAAATATTTTTGGCCTCCAAAATCTCCAAGAGATTTCAAATGTCATTATTGCAAAAGCAGAATAGTAGTCTAAACTTTTTCAAAATTTTCCATCTTTCCTTCCTTCCTTCCTTCCTTCCTTCCTTCCTTCCTTCCTTCCTTCCTTCCTTCCTTCCTTCCTTCCTTCCTGTTCAAAAATTAGGAATAACCAGGTGGAGGAGAGATGAAAATAATGGACGAGGGAGGCAGAGGTAACATATTCTGAATTCTTATAGCAATAAAATAAGCTCTAAAAAATTACTTGAAGGCATTGAATTCAAAATCATCATAAAAATGAGCTGAACAAACAGAAATGTTTTTCATGGGAGGAAAAAAAGAATCAACTCTGGGAAATTGGAAGGCAGATTTCTACACAGTAGTAGCATGTTTCTATTTTGATATATTATTAATAGTTATCATTTTGCAATCAGCCAATTCCACAATACCTTCCAAGCTCTTGTATAAACATGATACATTTATTGTATCTGATTTTCCCATGATGGAGCATTTTTCCCCTTGAGAAACTGTTTTGAGTATATGTGTACTTCTCTTTGTATGGGGACAACATGTTCTGTTCTTGTCCAGGCTCATTTTAAAGCCTCTGAATTCCATACTCAGCAGTGCTATGGAAGTAAAGATATTGAAAAAAAATCCAAAAAGTCTACTTTGATTTTGTGATCCTCTTCATGGAAGTAAGCCTTACAAAGTTCAATGGGAATTATTTGCAAGTAAAGTGGGAAATGTAGAATGGTGGCCTTGGTGATAGTCAAAAACTCTGAAATGTCTCTGTTTATAATTGTGAATAAACTGGGAATGCTGTACATATTTTCCCATACTGTCTGTGAACAGAGTCAGCTGACAAAAGGAAGATGTCTTGCTTAAGCATCAAAGGGAAAAGGAGAAATGAAATACTGTAAGGATATTTTTTGGGAAATCCATAATGGTACTTGTGCAGCAAACAGATATCAATCTAATTAAATACATGATGAGGATGAGGTTGATGATGATGACAATGGTGATGATATTATCCATTCAGTTGTGTCCAACTTTTGGTGATTCTATGGGCCAGGTCTCTGTACATCTTCCCATCTTGCACTA